TATGTATAAGTCTAAAACGTTCGTGTTGCCAACATGAAGACATTTCCACGAGTTATTGCAAGACTACTTTTGATGGTTTTGCAGCATCTTCGAGGTAGCTGTGTTTCAGAATCCATGAGTTTTGTTGCTCACTTTGTGTTCTTTTGTTATGACTCTTTGTTTGCAGGTATCTTTCTCAGCGGCTCGTAGAAGATTTGTTAATTAAAGACAATTCAGGAGGTACAGTCTGGACAACTAAATCTTTGTGCGCTTTTTTCAGTGTTTTGTTGATAACGAAGTATCGTACGCCGCAAAACTGTTTTATCCTAATTTGTGAGCCGTGAGCTGTGTGTTGTCAGACTCTTCACACTCACATGGCTGTTTTTGACAGGTCTTCGTGACAACTTGGAATACTCTCACAGTGGTCCAAGAGATAGCATTCCTGGCCGAAATTCATTCACCGACCTCGGTGAGTAAAAAGTTTTCTCGGGGTTTATTTGTTTATATGGAGGAAAATTGTTTCTGTTAGGAGGGTTACCTGCCGTTGTCGCTGTTTACCAAGTCAAAATTGTTCCTGGGTTTCCTGCAAGCCAAATTCTGCGTTGTCTGGAGAACGTGAACCACGATGGCTAAGTTTTTAAATCTTTATTTCAAATTTATGGCCGTATCCAGATTCAGTTTTGTGATAGTTTTGGCAATGATAAACAAAGTAATTGACTTTAGAGTACTGTGTGAGTCGAAGGTAAACTCCCTAGTCGTGTAGGGGAAGATCCGTCGACGGAAATCTCGTTGTGAATCCCGATAGGAATTTGTGTTGAGTCCCAGTGAATATGTTCGTGGGAATCTCATCAGAAATCTCAATGGGAATCCCGAAAGGATTCCGAAAAAACTCGATAGAATCCTGATCGGAGTTTCGGTGTAAATCCGGTTGAAAATCTCAGAGGAGATGTCGTTGGGAATCTCGGTGGGTAAAATATTTCGGAATCCTTACAGGAATCCGGGTGATAATGTTATCTTGAAGTTGTGACTGAACCTGCTGCTTGCCCCACGAGTAGTGAGTGACACATCATTTTGATGACAGGTGGACGGTTTAACTTTCGATGCGCTGACTTGTGATTGATTCAAATGTCTCGTTATTT